CTCAGAGAGTTCCAGAACATGTCTAGATCTCACAGTGCCCCTAGGCACCCCAAAAAGCACAACGTATTCCTACAGAAGTAATTTGAGTCAATGGTAATGTCTACCTGAATGACATGTAAAAGACCTCTTTAGCTTTTCCTCTTTAGCACTTTTAGCTTGGTATCAGAGTAACTCCAGATATTAAGACATAACACTCAGTGGTACAAAGACTCATGGATATATTTTCTACCTTTTCCTCCAGATTTCTGCAGCAAGCCCTTTTTGGAAGACCTTTAACCAGGCTCCAGGTATGAAACTGAATAAAATGGATTTGGAAATAAGAGAGTTGTGAACAAAACACTGGCTAACCCTGAAATCCTGAGTATCAAATACAAGCACTGTGCGATGGAAGGAGCCTATCCTAGCTAGCAAGCATAGCAAGTTGAGAAGTAATTAATAGGTGATAAGTGCTAAAAAAACAGATACAAGTCAAACTCCTGCTAATACTCTTGGGCTCCCTGCACATATATCCTTGGAGAAGCTTATCCTCACAGGACTTAAGAAATGGTAGACAGGCAGGACAGACACCATCAAAATTTCCAGAGATTTGGACAATGGTAGATAGCAGCCAGCATCACGTTCACGAATCTGACTTGTTCCCAGGCCTACAGAAGTACTGAAAGTATCACCACACACAGAGAAAATCAGATAGAATTTCATTAGGATCAATAAAGGACATGACACCTTGAGCACTAGGGGAACGTAGGCAAAGTTCTTAGTTAGAGGTTTCATTCAAGTGGGATGTGGTAGTAATGAAACTGCCAACAAAACAACTTCCTGGCACAACTTCAATGGCAAGAAAACATGCACACACTCGAAGTGTAGGCAGGTCCACATAAATAAAGTTAAAAGTAAAATTTAAGGAGATAAAGGACCTGCTTGATAGATGGTACGTGATGAACTCCAGTGGGTAGGAAGAACGAAAAATAAAGTACAAGAAAGATTGCAAGACAGGACAAAGATACAGACCCCCAAAATCCCACCCCAACAAATTCACACTCTACAAAAAGTACCGAGAGTACAAAGTGGAAGCTATAAACACATAACCACTCTAAATACAAAAGTCATTACTGACAGATTCCAAACCTAGCAGCAAGAGCAGCACCAGACTGAAGACTACTAAAAGAGTCCCTGTCAGTGTCCCCCGTGTGCTGTGCTGCCAGCATACAAGACCTTTGCAAAGCCTGTACCAAAATTCTGGAGCCACAGACACTGAGCTGTGCCTGCCTTGGATGAGAGAAAAAAGTAATTTCAGAAAGGAAATTCCTGTAAACCTTAGAGGCTCTGAATCTCTTGGAAGTATGGAAAAGCATCTTGTGGAAGAAGGGCAGGAGTAAGAGCAGGAAGGAACGTTAGGAAAAACTGGAGCTTCCCGAGCTGGTCTTTGAGAGGCAGAATGTCCAAAACAGAACAAATGACACAGCTGACAGAAGTGACAAAGTGCCCCCTTCCTCCCTGTTCAACCTTTCATACTTAAACTCCCTATTCTTTTCAAAGCTCAGATGGAGTTTACTACAGTAAAAAACCAATTGCCAGTTACTGAAAACAAAACAAACAATCCCAAAACAGGCAAGGTAAGTGATATGGAGTTCAAGTGTGATAGTCACTACTTTATCAATGGAAATTTTGTCACTGAAGATAAATCTAGTCCTGCCAGATCCATCCTGTCACCTGCTAAACAACTGAGTCACCTTTTGTGGTCTTGCTTTATTTGTTGTAATGTACAGTACATCGGTGGATATCTTATCTTTGTTATTACTGGTTGTTTTGTTTTCTTCCTTTTAGACATGCAAGCATGAATTATTAGAAGCATTAAGCAGGTACAATTTTCTGAGAAATGTTTCTAAAGTGTGTTGGTTAAGCTAAAACCACAGATGACTGAAGCAGTGTGACAACCGAACTTCAGACCTAGGAAGGGAATTTCTGAACTGAAGTCTATACCTAAAGGTTGTCGTTTTGTACGCTTGGAACCGGGAGAGGGTTCAAGACATAAGAGAACAAGGAAGTGAGGTTTAGAGAAAAAAATCAATTTCAAGTTAAAGAACTTGTCTTCCCCAAGACGTTTTCTCTAGTGTGACAAAGCAAAACTTGACTAGGCAGGTGATTATGCCTAAGGCAAAATCCATGCTGTAACTGTTAAAATGGTATGAGAGAAGAGTTGCTGGAGTTCATTCCTTCCCCACCCTTGACAAGTCTGGACTACACAAGAAGATCAACTAATACACTTGTCTGGTATTTCAAATATCAAAGTTACAACACTTGTTGCTGCTCTGAAAAACAAAATCCTCATCTTTAAAGAAACAAACTTCAGTCTTAGGTGTTGTTGAATTCAAGGTCCTTAATGTAGCAATGCATGCTCGAATGCATAATCCAACATCAGGAATGTATGTCACCAAGCTGTCAGCAGGTCTTGCAAAATAACAAATGCTAATGATCCCTTACTAGATTTATGGAGATTGTGCATGCTTATGCATCCTTATGCAGAGGGCAAATGATAAAACATGGGCAATACTTCCAAAACATAAACGAGGTTATCTATGTGAAGCAGGATGGCTTCGTTGGAATTGCTATTCCAGATTCTATCCTTCGCTAGATCACTTAAGATCCAAGTTATTTATGTTACTCTACACAAGAAATCCCCTGGATGGCCTGCTACTGATGAGCAGCAGCAATTTGCAATTTCAGATCACTTCTGTGTGTATAGAATGACTTCTTACAAACATCAACACTTCCCAGTTGTAAGTAAAGAATGATTTCTATCCATATTGGGAGCAAAACCTTCAATGTATTTTTGCATAACATGTTCTGTAACACAAAGACAGTAACTAGATAAAGCCATTTAAATGCTGCTATATCTTCATCTTTCAAGAACTTTAAAAATAGAATTATTGATGTTGCAGAAGAAAACTGGCAAGGATATTATGAATGCACGGGGATTACTATGGAATAGTGAGATGTTGATACCTTTATTAGGAAGCATGTCAGTTTTCAGGCACAGAAGAATCAGTTGTTAATGGGAATATTCTGTAATGTATTTTATATGAATAAAAATATAGGAGACTCTCATACTTTTCTTGAGATCATGCAAGACTTAAGCAGAGGGCTAGAAAGCTTTTTGCTAAATAAACTCATTTGGTTGGTAAGGATGTGACTTGGGATAATATTCTCACCTTTTTTTAAGTGAGAAGTGTTTGGAAATTTGAAGCCCAGATTCTGGTGCAAAATCTTCAACTAGTTTCGTGCATAAATACCACAACATTTACAAGAAGACAACAAAATATTTTAATTTAAATATGCTCTATACTATAGAACTGTATAAAATACCAACTAAGCATTCATTTGAACGTTAGAAAAAACCCCAAAATAAACCCAAGAAACAACAGGAAAAGCAAGCAGCACACTGTAGTAATGATAACAGAAGGTGGCACAACCCAGGATATACAACCAAAAATGCAGGCAAGTTACTGTTTCACAACTGTTGTTTACAACTACCATCAGAATGGGAAACACGCTGTAACCATCCCAAGACTTCCATGGTTTCTAGTGTCCACCTTGTTATGCAGATGCCAGTGTACTAAAAATGACAACCATATTAGTATTTAACATCATGTTCTTTTTGATTGAAAGGTAGCACTGATTTCTTCGGATTCCTAGGAAACAACAGCAACTACCTGGATTTCTAATGCAAAACAAATGCTTTAATTGGTAATCATGGAAAGATGGAAAAAGGACAGAACAGGAGTTATTCCAACAACTTTAAATTAAATTAAGTGAAACACTAAGTCCAGCAGTAATTTGAGAAACATGGAAGAAATCTTGGAAAGGTCTGAAGGCAGTTGTAGCAAACATACAAAGTTTCTCTCCGTTTTATTTATTTTGCATGTTAACAAGCAGTACATGTATCAAGCTGATTGTTACACCTTAGTAACACAAAATAACGTTATGCACCCCCATGTCCATAAAACATGGCTCCAGCAATACATGGCATTCCATATAATAGCTCTTCTTAACGCTGGAGAGAGTGCTACTTGAGTTAGGTCCAAGTACCAGTGTTTGTTTCAGTTTACAGGGCACACCACACAAACCAAGATCATACTGCAGGTATTACTGAAGTTCAATATATTCCTGCTCTCTGTAGTCGCAGGGTATCAATCTCTGTTTTGCTTAGTATTATAACAGGCCTTCAATAACATTGCACCACAGCTTGGAATGGTTTCATTACCTATTTTTTAAAAAATACATTATTTATTTAAAAACCAAGGTGTGAAGCTGGGCATTTCAGTCAATGTTTGCTTCAAATGGCACAGAACGGATTGCCCAGCTACAAAACACTTTCTCAGACCAACTCCGGCAAAAGCAAACAGAGAATCATTCTCTGATTTCTAAAAACATGTCGAGAGGCTTCACACATCTCCTTTCTAAAACTGTAAGTTACATTTTCCCCCAGATTTCAGTTACTAGCTCTTAAAAAAAAAAAAAAAAAAGAAAAATAATCCTGAAATCTATTTCAAAGTGAGGCTCTCCATTTAAAAAAACAAGTAGTAAAATACACTTTTGTCTTCTTTCTTCCTCTGAACTTGTATGCCATGGGCTTCTGTCTTTTAACACTAACATATAAAAAGCCCTAAAGCTTCTCCCACAGATACCCATTACTTAAGTATGCATCATTACTTGGCATTAAACATTTCTAAATACCAGCTTACTTTGGAAGCAAAGCTAAGAAAGATTGTATTTATGGACATAGAAAGCCAGTAGAAAAAGGTACAAGTGTGTAGCTTGTAGAACAGTTCACATCGGGAATGAACGAGGAAAAGGCACTCCATCTCTCTTTACTGTTCTACACACTGTGTGCAATTTTTCCATCACTGTTAAACCTTTGCTCACAAGAATGCAGATTCACATACTGAGTAGAGTTCACATCTCTCCAATATCATGGTTTTCACTGAAAAATTACATTGCTGTGAATATGCAACATTAGCTTTATTTATACATTTAAAAGTACTTTTTTTTCCAAATGAGGAGTTAAAGCTACCAAACAGACGTTACTGAAGATATAAATTATTTGAACTTAAATAATTTAAAATTAACTTGTTTAAACAACTTTCCTATTGCACTTTTTCCATTACTTTGCCAGATAAAACCCTACATAGGCATTTAAAAGGTTAAAATTTTAAAAGCACAAGTTGCATAGCACCAAAATAAGGTGCTGAAGAAATCTTATGCCTGCTGGAAAATGAGTGCCAATAAAAACAATTATAAATATATATGTATATACACATCTAGTAGTAAGTCCAGGATGCCGAGATAATAAATACTTTAAACAATTCCCCAGATTTCCAGAAACATGTGAGAAACTATAGAAAATAATGCAAAGTTACTTTAGAAGACCAAGAATACACATGCACAAAATCTATTTTAAGAAAAAGGTTTAGAGTTCCCATATTTTAACCTTTAAAACCAGCTCTGTTATCGCTATGTACTCCACACAATGACTAGCCTATTAGTTTGAGGATTTTTGTGAGTCAGAACAAAGAAAGCTTCCCCCAGCTGCTTTACAATGGAACAGCCTATAGCACCCCCCCCCAAAAAAAATAAACTTAGTTTGTCCTCTTATATCTCAAAATGTCTTCTTCTGCCTATCTTTTGATCCCAGCAATCTGGGAATACCCTCATGGCATCCATCAACTTGCAGCATCAAGAGTAAGGATGAAACTTCCTATATTTTTTCTGAGCAAACTTATACTGGAATTTCTCCTATTATAACTGCTGCTGTTGCCACCAAACCTGTGACCTGCTGTTTCCACAGTAAATTTTCCCCTTGCATATGTCTACTTGCAACCTTGGAAAAACAACAGCAGTTCAACTGAAATGGGTAGGAGTATAATCTGGCCTTCTCGTCTGAATAATTTTTGGTTTGGGTTTCTTTGTTTCTTCTTCCACATCGTTTTCCTGGTCACTCTCACATACGTGGACGACAACACTAGGAGTAGTGTCAGTTGCAGCATGTAGCTCATACTTTTCTCCTGAAAGTTAAAATACGAGCAAAACTTGTTAAAAAGCATCTGTTCTGTAGAAAAGTATGAAAGAAATTAAGAGAAAAGGAATACATAAAAAATGCATAAGTAATACACTTGACAACAATCTGATGCCACAAGGCATTAGATGGTGCAGGCAAGTGCATTGTCAATAGTCACATTTACAGCTCCAAAGTATTTTGGTTCTGTTTTCAAATCAACATAGCTCAGCTGCTTGCTTAAAAGCAAGTTTATGTATATTACCCCAGGTATTCAAGAAAGCATTCTACATGAGCAGTTGTAAGTCTTCTCGATGGGTTTTTAAAGCATGCAAGATTATCCATCCACTGTACCACATTCAGGAAGACTTTGTTTTCCTGAATGACAGCAAAACCACAGGATCTTCCTTCCCCCCAAAAGCTTTCAGTTTAAGAAAGCTGGATACAGCTCTTCCCACTTCACACGGAGGTGCTCTAACACTGTTCTGGCATTCTGTGGGGGATCAGAGCTATTTAGCAGGCTTCATGCACATCTAATGTCAAACACTCGTATAATACAACCAGTGTGCAGAAGTGCTATGATACAAATTTTATTGACCACTGATGTGCAATCTAGTTTTTCTGTAATAAAAGAATTGCTTTTAAGTCTAATCTTACATTATGTCAGGGAAAGGGCAAACTATTTCCTTTCACCACTTCCCTGATCAGCTCCCCTGAATTTTTTTCCTTGTTACTTTATACTCACAACCTCTCAGTGGAAAGAACAGTCTCCATTAAGACCACTACAGTGATATGCACATCAGCTGTTCAGAAGAGCTAACACCCGTGGCAAGCAGCACACTCTAGTGTGTCAAGGCTCTGAAGTGGTATCTGCTGTTTCCCTCAGAACTTTATGAAGAGGAACTGGTGCAGCAAGTAGCTCCATAGGGGAAAAAGCTCTTGCCTCCAGCTCTTCAGAAACACACAAGCCATTGTGCTAGAGTAACCTCGCTTGTTCCTTGGTACCAAGTCATTAACCCTATATTCCAACAAACATCACGGTCAAGAGGCAAGCTTTATAAGAGCTCAACACTCACAATATATACAAAAAATCTCATAGGAAAAGGGATCACAGATGTGTCAATGAGCTTACTGCAGGCAATGTCAATAACAGAGCTTTCAGGGGGAAAAGGACCAACTTTTACTGCTTAATAAGCCCCTAAGTATTTAAGATTTACTGGCATCTTTTTGGTATTGATAAAACTTAAAAGGAAACTTTTAATTACTATGTGTGTATGAAACCACCGTCTACTTTTTTTCTGACATCTCAAGTTCACCTGGTTGAGGGTAATTAACTCGGAAAGTTCTAGAAATTCAGACAGTTTAAAAGGTGGTTTACTCAAACAAAATTCCAGTGTTTCTACTCCTCCTTACCTGGCCCTAACTTGGAGATAGCATATAAAAGGTCATAGTTAATGACTGGAGTAGCATCTTCCACTTGCTTCCAGCCAACAGGTGGAGAGGCAGGAGGTGAAATCAAAAACTGTTTGTCAGGATTCGGTGGCGCCAAATGTGAGCTTCCAATGTGCAAAGTCTGGAAAAAGCAATAAAAGCCAACACTGTTTCACTATTATCAATGAATCCATCATTCATGAGCAGTTTTAAGGTTTGGATAGATGTTATGCTGTAACAGGCACTCAAGGTGGCAGCATGTAACTATTATTGAAGAGAGCTATATGAAAGGCTAAGTATACAAAATACAGACAAGCCACCACATTCATTAACTCTGATGAAACATGCAATGAATTATGCACATCCACATCTTATCATGGATTTTTACAAGAATTTCACCAGAAATTATCTGTCCTTAAAATACTGAAGTAGGAGGAAGCTGGATATGGGCTTTAAGGCCTAATGACAAATGGTGTTGAAACTCATTACCACAAGTGAGAGTGGTGAGAATTCTAGAAGGTATATAAATAAACTGGCTCCTTCAGGACTGTCCCTAGGGACATCTGAAACAGACACACATAGATTAATTTTCCCATTTAATTTGCGGAGGAAAATACACAGCAGCTAACAAAAAAAACCCAGATTACCAGAACCTGAGTTTCACCTCTTTAGCAGCAGAGCTAGCCAGCTATAGAGCTGCACTGAGTGATCTCCAAGTACACATGTGCTTAAACAGCAGTGAGAGCAGGATCACCAGGTAGTCCTGAACCTGCAGCTCTCTGGATTCCCTCAGATACTACTTGAGCAAGCATGTGTGTAAGCGTGTACTGCTGGCAGAGCTACTTGGCTTTCCCCACCCCATTAACTCCTTTGATTGTGCTTGATTACTGTCATCTACTCCCTTTCCCCCAGATTATCAAAGCAATACAGAGGGAGACATAAATGCGAAGTATGCAACACCTCCAAATACTTGTATCTTTGGAATAACCTGTGATTCTCTAATCAAACTGGAAAAAATTAAGTGTTCAGTAGCATGACTGAAGACCTGCGGAAACTTACCAGGGTTAAGTTATGCTTTAGTACTTTGTAAGGATAATCACAACAAGACTCACCTGAGCAAAATACAGTTTTATTTCCTTTCCAAGGAACTCTGTCTTGTGCAACTGGATTCTAGCATCTGCTGCAGATAAAGGGTTACTGAAATTTATTCGTACTCTCTTGAAGCTCTTAAAATACTGAAAGGTGATATCTCTGTCGAATGTTCTAAACAGTGATTCAAATTTGGCCTGAAAAGAAAGGACCAGAGAAGAAAGTTAACAGGTAAAACACTACAGTTTCTTTAAAGAAAAATAGAAATAAACTGCAGTTACCAGTAGCGGCATACTACCACTCTTGAATATTGATCTATTTATAACAGCTTAGATTTAGTTCTCTTCTCTCTTTTTACAACAAATTTGTTTAACCTAGCACTTGTTGGCTGTATAGCAGCTTTTTTCTTCTTTACTGAAAATGGATTATTATTAGTGCTGGACATGATACTCTGAGTTAGTGACACAAAGAAATAACAGTATTGGTAACAAATTGAAAATTAATATACCAAAAAAAGTCTGTCAGGCACACCTTTGTCTGAGGATGCAATTTTCAAGGAAACCAACACAACAGTTTAAATAGAAGAAAATGTAAAAACAAACAAACAAAAAAAACCCCAACAAAACAAAACCTATTTGCAACGTAAATGTTATTTTTCTGCAGTGTCGCAGCATGCATAATAAAGTTCATGAACATCTCCTGTTTTAATAGCTGCTACTTTAAGAAAATTAACATACTCTTACTGAGCTCTGGTTTTACAGTCTCCTCTATTTTTGGAAATGGATTCTAAAAAAGCTCTCACTATCTTTCCTAAAAAAATCTTCAGGACAAACCATACAGCTCCTGAAGGACCTTTGGCACATTCCTTGTTCTGACTGTATGGTAAGAGCAGGAGCTGGATCAAAACCTTATACCTTCATAGATCAGCAGCTGTCACTTTGCAGTCCTATCTGTGTGAAAGACTGAAACATCTTTAACATCAGCTGGCTATTTGCATTTTAAACTTCAGGTTTGTGCTCCTAGGGCATCTATGCAAACCTGACTTGGCTATTTTTCATATCATTTACATGAAGAGTGCTTCCAGTCTTACTTCATGATGCCAGACAAAAAGACGAGAAAGAAGCAGGAGGTTCTGAAGCTGCCATGCTTTTGCAAAGTGTTTCAGGCTCACATTGAGAACACAGTAACCAGTCACAAGCCTTTTTTCAGTGATGGCAATAGATCAAGCATTCAGATTTCAGGTATTTTTTTCTCTTCATAGAAGCTCAATACAAAGCCAAAATAAGTAAGTACAATCACACTGCCTCATTTTTTTTACTGTTACGCTTTGAATTAGTAGGGGAAAAGCAACAAATGTTACATAAGAAGGCAGTGATAGCTTCAAAATTTCATTTTCCTTCCTGAAAAGTTCTGCTTCACAGACTCTCCACAGCCGTGTACAGAACCACTACGTATCAAAGATAAAATATCAGAGCTGTCCTGCTTCTTGCTGAGCCACACTTAAGCTTCTTCAAAACGAGCTCTGAAACAAGGCGAGGACCCTCCAGACACGAAGCCTGTATCTGTTAGCCTCCTGTACTCTGAGAGCGCTGGATGCAATCATGAAAAGTAAGTAAAACTCACACTAAGTTACATTTTAAAGTTCCCATTCAACACAAATTCAGAGAGTACCTGCAAGATTTGTGCTATATATATATATTTATTTTTTTAAAAACATGTGTGATTCTAGAGGTTGGAAATGTGCTAGCAATACAACAGTAAATAAAATGGTATTTTTGTCCCCAAGGTATCCTAGCAGTCAAAAATTCACTGTATCAGGACTGGATTACTTACATTATATTAATTCTAATCAGTTAAATATAAACCTGAGAGGACTTCTTATAGTTTTAACGTTATGCTCTTAACTACAGTGCCAACCAAAAAACAAAAATCCCATGGAAAGTATAAAGTGTGCTATATATTATGTGAAATTTACCACCGAAACCATAATTTAAACATTTGCTGAAAGCACATATGCAAGTGAAGGGTGCTCTATACAGGCAGTCAAAGAAGTTTGGAGGTAAACTTCTGATCATTTTCAAGTCCCCACAATTTCAGATACAGTAATTTCCAGAGTTCATAATCCATGTCAGAGCATGACATGTCAGTTGCAGACTTCTAAGACCCAAGACCCTTACATCAAACTGAAATTTTCTCACAAGTCATAAAGGTATCGAGGTATTTTAGACAATTTGAAACAGCAGCTACATACTTCAGTATTCCAGTAGTTCACAGGAATAAACCACAAAAGATAGAACATACCCTTGTTTCTGCTTGATTGAAGACATCGCTATCTGCCACGCAGGCAATCAGAGAACTAAAGCTGTAGTTAAAATTTCTGAAATGCATTTTATGCTTCACTAAAGCAATGCCTGCTGCTCTGCAAGAAGCCAAGGACTTAAGGAAGCCGTTGGTCCTGCAGGCAGTGTTTATAAGGGAAACAAGTCCAGCCCCTCAATAAAAAAAAAAAAGGAAAAGAAAAAGAAAGGTTTCAGAGCATCCTGTGTGTGACAGCGAATTCCTGAACAAAGTCCTGCATGCTTTGAGGCAGTCAGGAACAAAATGTAAGCTGCGACTGGAAAGAGGTGACGTCAGCACATTAGTCAGCTTCCCTATGCTAATTACCAGTGCTCGGGAGGATGGAAAAAACAGCTGAGGTTTGCACAGCAGCTGCTTTCTCGAGCCTCTTGCAGCATAGTTTCCACTGGTAGTAATTCCATTCAGCACTCAGACAACATGCTCTTCACTGGAATGGGACAACCCATCTTAAGATGGAAAATGTTACTGCTAAAGGACCAAAGTCTAGAGTAATAGGCTGTAATTAGCCAGGAGGAAAATTGCAAGACTTCAGAATGGAAAACAAATCCCTCAGGTCAATAGCTTTTGGTAATTTTGTGGAAAAATACACAGACCAATATTTAGAGATTAGGAGGAATTGATTTGGGAAAATACTTTTTCCCCCCATTACAGTGAGAAGTCTTTTTGAAGCTTTCTTCAAAGCAACTATATGGACTCATTACCATTCTCACTTTATTAGAAACCTCATTCCAAGCTTCATAAACTGCTGAGACTTTTTGTTTGGGTTTTTTTTTTTTTTTACTTTTCTTTAACCAGGACCATCACTAGAAATCTGGTGGCAGTGTTTTAAGAGACAACCTGAACTACTGACAGTAGTGATGAGGTATGAAACCTACATCTCTGGCATTTTCTGGTTTACCCATATCCGAACTTCAGAACATTTCCCACAAAGCAGCATAGAACAGGATTTTGTGGGGGGAGTTTTGGGGTTTGTGGGTTGTATTTTTTGCCTTAAAAAGAAAAAAGAAATAAAAAATATAATATCAAGAACCATTTAAAAACTCTGTAACATTTGAAGTAATTCACTAAGTTTAAACTGAAGCTCTTACAAGCTATTTGGAACTCTCCTTTGCAGCTTCAAATCGAAGTTTATTATAAAGTAGAAAATCCTAAGTGCAGTTTAGTTCCTGTCATTGTATGGGGCTCTGACAGAAGCACACTTTTATAAAATACTTGCAGACAGTCATAATTTTAAAACCTTATTTCATAAATATTTTATCATGTGTAACTACTCACATGAATAGCCTCTTTTATTTCCAGTATCTCTACTTACTTGCTCTAAGTTAAGGATGCTTATTGTGCCACAGTCTAAAATTCCCCATTTACCAGTCAAACTCTCTGCTATTGTAAAGTTACCTTAGCGTGAAAGACTACTCAGACCAACTTCGTAGCAGCTTTTCTTAGAAGCCCTTGAAAATAAACTCAGCACAAGAAAAGAGAAGGTGCTTGGAAGAACAACTCAACAATTGTATAGATGCTGTCACAGAGATTAAAATCAACTCTGAAAGAAAGCAACAGGTAACAAGCCTCCACAGTTCTCCAGGAGCACCGAACATACTGTGTGTCTGAGGGACAGAAAATACAGGGAGAAACAGCAGCTCCCTTCTTCCCCCTGACCTCCCAGGAAGATGGGATGCAGTGGCTATCCAGCCCCTCAACACTACCAAGATCTGGACTGGGCACAAATACAGTGAGAACAGTTCCCAAGCCCATGACCTGTACCCAGAAACACAGATACCTGATGATTCATAAACAGCCATCATGCCAAGCAGGGAACCTGAACTCACACAGAAAATCATGCCGAGTATGTCTTGAATCCCTTGCCCTGGAATTAGGTTGTCAAGTGTCTTAAAGACTTCGGAAGTGGAAGCACCAAGTATGACTCTGTAGACCAGTGGTCAGGATGCTCACCTGGAAAATATGGCCATGAATCACCTGAGCACAAAAGGAAAACAGGCTTTCCACATCCTAGGTGAATGCTATAGTTTCTGATAAGAAAGCAAAGAAGGTCCCCCCCTTTAACCTGCTACTGAGTCAGTCATTTGGCATACTCTCAGGCTACCAAGCTGCCTGCATCACCTCTGTGGGTGACAGGTAGAAAGAATATTTGAGCGTCACAAGGCCTACACAGGAGGCAGTTTCAAGCTGCTGAAGCCTTTGGCAACCTAGCTGCAGACCTTTATATAGCTAAGTGTGTCAAAGCTTCCTAGGAGCCCAGTGATCGTAAAAGTCTTCAAAAGCCCCATTTTGGACTTCACAGCTCGAAGTAGGATAAGTAGATTTCATGTACTTGCATTCCTTTGTAACTATAGACTGAGATTTTTATGTCCAGATCCCATGAAGAGTAAAGACATTAAAAATACCTCTGATTGCTATCTTCAAGGCCACCTACACATTACTGGGACCTAAAGAAAATTAGTTTACAGGTCTTTCAGATATAACTGTCATCTAAACCAGGACTGCAGCCTGCTGTACTGCTGTAAACAAGCCATCTATTTTTGAGAACATTTAACATGTCACAAACCAGTTTTTCACAGTGCTCTGGATGTAAAATAAACACTGAGTCTTCTATTGATACACACTAGGTCTTCCCTTTGCCCAGCTAAAAGGACAAAGAAAATAAACCAGTCCTAATCTGTTCTATTTTACCTTTCATATTTTTGCTAAAGCTGCATCACAAGTCTCTCTTAAAGAAACAATTCAAGAGAAAAAAAAGAAGAAAAGATGGTTGCACACTACCCCATTCACAACACAGAATAAATTGAGAATTAGTATTCTGGGGGAGGAGAAATCCCTTTGA